TGTCTATGTGTGAGGATTTTTTAGTGCAATGCCCAGAAAGGGTATCAAATCTCCTGGAGCTTGAGTTAGTTACAATGGCCTGTGATCTACCCTGTGCAGGTGCCAGGAACCAAACTCTGGTTCTCTACAAGAGAATCAATAACTCATTTTTTTTGTTTATTTGTTTTTTGTTTTGTTTTTTTCTTCAATATATGTTTTTATTTAAATTAGAAACATGAATGCTTCACATGTCAATCCCAGCTCCCTCTCTCATTCCTCCACCCTTGTCCCTCCACCAGCCTCCCCAGCCCCCCACCCCATCCCCACATCATTCCCCAGGGAGGGTGAGGCCCTCCTTGGGGGCATCTCCAAAGTCTGTCATTTCATCCAGGGCAGGACCTAGGCCCTTCCCCATGTGTCCAGGCTGAGAGGGCATCCCTCTATTTGGAATGGGCTCCCAAAGATCATTCATAAGCCATGCTACACACTGATCTACTATCCAAGGCCCCAGTGATTTCTGTGGCCTCCTCACTGGCACTACATTCATGGAGTCTGGATCAGTCCCCTGTTGGCCTCTCAGCCACCAGTCTGGGATTCAAGAGCTCCCCTTTATCTAGTCAGCTGTCTTTGTGGGTTTTATCATCATGGTCTTGACCCTTTTGATCATCGCTCCTCTGTCTCTGTCACTACGTTCCAGGAGTTCAGTTCAGTGTTCAGCTGTGGGTATCTGTCTCTGCTTCCATCAGTCACTGAATGAAGGTTCTAGGATGGCATATAGGGTAGTCATCAACCTTATCATTAAGGAGGGGCTATTAATGTAGTCTCTCCATTATTGCTTAGTTTGCCAGTTGGTGTTATCCTTGTAGATCTCTGGAGATCTCACTAGTGTCAGCTCTCTCCTCAAGCCTACAATGACTCCAATGGTAACTCTCATCCTGCTCTCTATTCTTACCTCGACTCAATCTTCCTGCTCCCCCATACCTTCTTCTCCCTTCCTCTCCTCCCCCTCTCTTTTTCCTGCTTCTCTCTCCCTTCCCACAATGTTCCCAATCTGCTCAGGAGACCTTGCCTCATTCCACTTCTGGAGTATCATGCATCTCTCTCTTGGGAACCTCCCTGTTTCCCAGACTCACTGGCACTGGAATTGTAGGCTGACACTCCCCTAATCCATATCTAAAATCCATATATGAGTGAGTACATACCATGTTTGTCTTTTTTTGTCTGGGTTACCTCACTCAGGATGGTTTCCTCTAGTGCCTTCCATTTGTCTGCAAATTTCAAGATTCCATTGTTTTTTCCTGCTGAGTAGTACTCCATTATTTAAATGTACCACATTTTCTCTATCCACTCTTCAGTTGTGGGGCATCTAGGTTGCTTCCAGGACCTAGCTCTTACATATAATGCTGCTATGAACATAGGGGAACCGATATCCTTGTTGTATGAATGGGCATCTTTTGGGTATATGCCTAAGAGTGGAATTGCTGGGTCTTTTGGTAGACTGGGTCCCATTTTCCTGATTAATCTCCATATTGATTTCCATCGTGTTTGTATGAGTTGGCAGGAGGGGAGGAAGAGGGAGCTGGGATTGACATGTGAAGCAACCTTGTTTCTAATTTAAATAAAAAATCTAATATATATATACATATATATGTATATATATATATATATATATATATATTACATGCACTGATGTTTTACCACAGATGCCAAGACGACTCCTAGAACAGGAGTTAGACAGTTGTGAGCAGCCATGTAGGTGCTGGAAATTGAACCCAGGTCCTCTGGAAGAGCAGCCAGTGCTTTTAGTTGTTGAACCATCTGTCCAGCCCCAAGAAGGACATTTTAAGATCATGTATCCACATGTTACCTGTAGTAAATGTCCATAGTTGGAGAATGTATAGCTGTCTTGTAGTATACTCATATAATAGAATCAAATCAACAATTGAAAATGAACTGAGAAGACACATCACAGCACACACAAATAGCAGAAGCATCATATTGAATTAAAGAAGCCAGGTGCAGAGAGGAGTACCTAGTTATAATAACATAGTCAATAACAAACAAATTTAACTCATGGAAATACAACTGTGGCTTACTCTTGGGCTTTCAGACAAGAGTGAGAGAATGCAAAGACAAACAGATGTTTAGAATCCTGGAAAGGCTCTATATATTTATTAATATTTTGCTTACATGAAGAGAAAGAAAATATGTGATAATCAGGCTAAAATTCATTAAACTATATGCTTTAATATCCATGTGTTTTGCTGTATGCAATTATATCTTATTAATACAAGTTCTACGCTAAAATAATAATGTAACAGCAATCTAAACCCGACACTTTCAGTTTTCTAATGTAGAATTAAAGCTTGAAAAAGGAAGCTGTTACACTAAATCTATATCTTCCTCTAAGGTTTCAATTAAATATAAGACAAGAGCCTCTTAAAACCAATGCCAAGCTATCATTCAAGGATAAAAACCAAGGCTTTGGTCAGAGTGGAAGGGGAAGCTAGCTGAATTTCTAGATTTCATGGAGTTGGGGTAAAGATGGTGGATCACTTGGAGGTTAACTGTTCTTGGCTTGCAACTGGAGACTGAACTCTAAAAACAGGTCTAAATCTTTATATGTGGTGAAAGAGAGGTATGGAGAAATTAGAGAGAGACCGACACACACACACACACACACACACACACACACACACACAGAGAGAGAGAGAGAGAGAGAGAGAGAGAGAGAGAGAGAGAGAGAGAGAGACACAGACAGAGAGATTAATCTGTGTCTTCAGATAGAAAATGGATGCTGCAGCTGGAAGAAAAGCAAAAAATACATTGTTTGCTTTTTCTTAGCCTTTTCTTTTACTTAAGTCTTCCTTAGATTGAGCTGCCCCCCTCCACGCACACACTGATTTACTCACCTAGCAATTCAAATATCAATATGAATCTCATCTACACACACACACACACACACACACACACACACACACACACACACTGATTTACTCACCTACCAATTAAAATGTCAATCTTATCTACAGACATGCTCATAGACACTCCCAGACATAATATGTAAGATATCAGCACATCTACCGTGGCCCATTGAGTCAACAGATGAAGTAGCCATCATACTCTGTGTACATAGGATAATAAGGGAGATTCATCTGGAGGTCAAGTCTCTGAAAACATTACACAGTGTTCTGTGGATCCTATGCACGATAGTCAGTAGGGAGAGGAAACTGGAGGGGAATGTCAGAATCTTAAATCAAAAGGTTTTCTACTGAGCATCAAGAAATTCAACAAGGGGAGTATTGTTCTTCCCATAGGGCTAAGATTTGAACTCTGACAGTTCCCATTCTGCAACACCCAAGGGTGCAAAATATACAAGTTAGTGTGGGAGGGTGGTGGTGCCTTATATGTGGTCCATCCCTTCTGTCTCCCAGTCAACCTCATATTCAGGAAGAACATATGAGACCAGGCACCCAGGCACTTCCTCCTCTTGATTCTAATTTTAAAAGCTTATCTCTCATTACTATTATTATTTTTTATTATTAGGTGTGTGTGTGTGTGTGTGTGTGTGTGTGTATGTGTATAGGCATGGGCATGCCATTGCTTATGTACAAAGATCAGAGCATAGCTTTTATGATTTACCTTCCCATCCACTATGGGTTCCAGGGATCCAACTCAAGTCCTCAGGCTTATGTACCAAGTGTTTTCACCCAATAAACCATCGCAATACCCTGCCTATTGGTTCTATAGCTGTCAGTACAGTTCCATTTCCTTAGACTCTTGGTCTTTGATTAGAAATTCACACTAAGGTTATAATGGGTGAAAAAATAAATGGCAATCCAAAGTGCTCGTGGTTATTCACATCAACTAGCTACCAGTGATAAACTAGCTAATTCACCTGCAATGTATTACACTTCAGCCTATGGGAATAAAGGGTAGATATGTCAGACTGGCTGGGTAGATATTAGGGTGCCAATTGCTCAACTCCCCTTTGACAAGCCTAATTTTGTAGCTGCCTAGTATATGGCTCCTGCTGACCCAGTGCAAACAGAGTGTATTCCCCCCTCCTCAGTATGCTTTCTGTGAAAACCTACTTAGTGACTTTTTTAATAATGAGAACAATTCATACACACTTTAGTGAGACCCTATCAGAGTCACAAGCACAAGTAAGAGCCATGGAATCCAGTATATAAGGCACATGCCCAGACTTTTCATGGTTAGTAGATTTACAACACAATTGTTTTTGCATGCTTGAATAGCGTTGTGACACTTTGTTTATGGTGTTTAAATACATGTATGCATGTTTGAGAAATAAGATCTGAATACTTGTTTAAATATCTTATAATGGACCTTAATTGGTCAGAGGTGAGCACATTGATAGGACCACATCCTTGCTTGGTGAAGGTTGCTTAGTGGAGAAGAAGCCTTTCCTACCATACACAAATACAAAACACAGGTTCAGAAAACCATGGTGCCTGACATGGTTTGGTAATGTAAACGGTTTCTCTGAATGTGATATTGGAGTGAGATGAGAACGATGCAATATGATCCTGCTAGAGCAGTGGTTCTCACCTTCCTAATGCTGAGACCCCTTAATACAGCTCCTCATGTTATGGTGACCCCAACCATAAAATTACATTGTTACTACTTCAAAACTAATTTTGCTACTGTTACAAATTGTAATGAATGTATCTGAGATGCAGGATATATAATATATGACCTCCAAAGGGGTCCCAATCCACAAGTTGAGAACCACTTTGCTAGAAGAAAGAGCAAGGGGTTATGTTGGCCTCTGAGGAGACGTGGAAAAGAGTTGAGACCCTGAGGTAGGACCGTTAAAGCATGTATGGTTGTCCAGCGACAATTTCAGCCCTGAAAACATACATAGCATACATCTAAGTAACAGTATATTTCAAGGTGTGTGTGTGTGTGTGTGTGTGTGTGTGTGTGTGTATGCATGCAAGCGCATATAGTAACAGATGAAAAAAGAGACCATGAGTTTGAAAAGGGAATAGGGATGGATATATGGAAAAATTTGGAGGGAAGAAAGAAACAAAATCATAATTAAATTACATTCTGACAAACAAGAGTAAAGCAAAAGAAGACTTTCTTCCCAGAACATAGAACAATAAGGTGTGAAGGAAGTGGGAGGCCACAGAAGACATGGAGGCCAACTCTGGTGGGCTGTCCATGGTCATACAAGGGAGTTTTCTCCATCGTGAGAGTGAGGGAGAGCAGTCTGGTACCAGGGCACATGCCTGAAATACCAGAAGTTTGGAATAGGAGCAATGAGGATCATGAGTTCTGGGTCCTCCTCAGAATCTGAAACAAGAACAAGAGTGACAGTCACTGAAATCCTCTAAGAATGGAAGTGATAAGAGAACTTACTCTAAGGTGGGCATGTTTTCTCCTTTCTGATCCTTCATCTTCAATGAACTAGGAAACAACTATTGTATGATCTCTCTCTGAGGCTGTGTCTCTGATATTCTATGATCCTCAATACACAGATCTGTCTTTATTTGGAGATATTGGCTAGGGGTAAAGGTATTTCTAATTCTTGATCTTGGGACCCTGTGACTCCTGAGATGTCAGGATAACAAATGTCATGGGCATAAGGTAACCTATAAATTATCCAGTTGGAAATATGAAGGAATACTGTTTGATTCCCCAAGCTCTTCCTGCTGCAATGGCCAGCTATGCTTCAAGAATGAAATATCTAAATACCACATTGAGGATCATGGGGAGCACAACTTGGAAAACTTGTAATCAGCAAGTGAAATGACTAGCTAAATAATTAAAATCAGTAAGCTACAGTTGGTCCTTAATAGCCTCAGGTCTTATATCTGTAGATTCATCAAGATGTACATCACAAATATTACCCCAAGAATAAAAATTAACAGAACAATGAAATAATTCAAATAAAAATGGTACAGTACAATATCTATATATCATTTATATTGCATAAATATAAAGAAGTATAAGTAATAAAGATGATTTTAGTCATAAGGGAGGATATATTTTGTCTGTATGTAAATACTACAGGATTTTGTATAAGGGGTTTGAGCATCTGTGGACTTCCTCTCAGAAATGGACTGGTATCATGAGGAGAAAAACCAGAATTTCCCTTTATCATTGCCTAGCTGATTGTTTAGCCTTCTTTAATGCTGGTCTTCTTGAGCCAACTTTTACTGTTATTCCAGTGGCCACACACACAAAACATATACACACACCACACCAACACACACACACACACACAGTCAACATACACAGACACACAAACACCCTCACATCACATTAACAAGTATAGTCAAACACTGAAACAACGTATTATCATCATCATCATCATCATCTCTGCATTCTTTCTCACACACATAGCCAAGACATTTGAAATCACTGTTGGGGCATGTCATACAATTGGTTGTCAACTAATATTACAAAGCATACTCACCTTTAAGGTGGTATACTCCAGTCATTCAGCATGAACCTTTGTTTATCCAGGCTCTGACCTCACTCCTGGAATCACTGAAGTAGGTGGCTCATCAGAAGATACCGACACACTTGGCATTTGAGAAAACTCTGCAGATGCTAAAGAATGATAGGCTGGCGTGGGCTTTTCACCCTGGCAAGAGTACACAGTAAGTAGCTCTCAATCCCTACCTCCAGTCATGCTCTACCATCCAGTGACCTTTCTTAGCTCTGGGGGAAACTGGGGTGATATTAGCTGTAGCTATGAAAACAAGTGTAAGTAAGTGCTTACAGATTCCACTTTGCCTCTTCATCCTCTGAGGAAAAGGCTGAAATTCTGTAATCCATAACAGGAAAAGAAGAGAAAAGCTATAACTTCCCTTGCTATCTTCGCCCTGCTCATCATGCAGCCATCTTTGATTCTGGTCTTACTGTACACTACAGCCTAGTACCTGGGCATAGTCAGGGCACCCACCTGAGCCTGGACTATTAGAGGATGAGGACCTGGGACTTGGATATAAAGTCACAAGTCTACTTGCTTCTGCAAGAAGTGTCTTTATGGTACTGGACAAGACACTGTTTCCAAAGCCTCAGCTTCCCCATTCATGGAGTGAGATAACAGCTCTACAAGCTTTACAAACACAGTCTTCTCTCTCAGGAAGCTCCAGCTGGATGTCTTTCTCCTGTGCCTCTTACTATTAGCACTAAAGCAGGGAGGTTGACAGCTGGCCTCTCCCAGCTGGCCTTTTCTTCCTCCTTTTTTTCTCCACGGTTTCTCTGACTTTTTTAGTGCCCATTTTATTATTTTATGTTTATTTTTAGCTTAATGCTCTCTCAGGGCAAAAGGTCATGAGATGGATGGGTGTGAGCTGGGCTGGTGCCTCCTCTCCTCACCGTGGTTGAGGGTGGCCCACTGTTGACCTTGGCTCAGGCTGCAGAAGGTTCCGGGGACTTAGAGGGAGCAGGAGAGGAAAGCTGGGATACGCTGCATCCCATGCCAGCTGCTCTGTGCCCGTGACTGTGAGTGGCATACACTGGCCCTGGAGGTGGAGGTGCTGGTATCTCTGAGGGTGGGGGATGATGGACTCAGAGGGTGCAGGGAGCAGAGAAGTGAGACTGTCTCCCGGGAAACAGGCCTGCCACTTCCTCCTCCCCCTAGTTATTCTGCATTGTTCCTGTTGAATACCTCATCTTCTTAGGTGAGAGGCCCTAGCTGTCTCAGCCCCTCCCCCGCCTCCACTGCCACCTGCCTGTCTCCTCCTCACCCCCACACACATTCACTTCCCTCCAGGCAGCAGCAATCAGCTCACACTGTCAGAGCAACTTCAGGAAGGAAATAATGTTCATAGGTCTGGAGAAAAGAGAAAGAAGGGGGAGGCCCGAGGATAGAGACGGAAGAGGCTCTGTGGGCCTTGGACACATAGGGATCCGTTTCTCAAGAGCTACTCACAAGCTCTGGTGAACTGAAGTTCCCTGAGAAAAGAGACATGGGTGTCTAATATCTTTCAGACAGACTGACTAGAATGTATATGGTAAATGCACTGATTGATGGCTTTCTGTTAGTTTGTGACTATGAAAGTCCTTGTAACACCCGAGTTAGTGTCCATGGGGCCATATTGGTTCACTGAAGCAGAGCTCAGAATATGGAACAAGGCAGTGTTCTCCACTGCCTGACTGTATGGACACAGCACCCTTTGTATCATTCTAATTAGTGGAAGTTGGCAGAGACCTGATGGGTGACACACCCCATCCACAGTTTCAAGCCTTCCAGCACTGGTCTCCAGCTAGAAATCTAACTTTGAATAGGTTTCTCTGCTGGCCGGAGTTCTAACTTCCTCTACCCACAAGATGAGATGAGCAGCATGATAGATAGACTCGTGCAGTGTCGAATTCCCTGGTGGTTCCCAGATGAGCTGCAAGCTTCCTGAAATTTCATGCATCTTTAAAAACAAAGTGGTTCTGCGTATCTATGAGGCCTTGGGTAGTATTTATCCCTGGCATACAAATAGACTTTGAGTGCCCATTCCACAGTGAGGGATGCTCTCTCAGCCTGGACTCTTGGGGGAGGGCCTAAGCCCTGTCCTGGATGAAATGACAGTCACTGGAGATCCCTGGGGATCTGAGTAGAGATTAAGTGGGGAGACCTGGTGGGGAGGGTGGGGGAAGATAAGAGGGAGAGGCAGCTGGGATTGACATGTGAAACACAGTTGTTTCTAATTTAAATAAAAAAAATTTAAAAAGGGAAGTGGTACAGACCTCTGGCCTCAAACCAATGTCCTACAAAGTTGCAACCAGAGAAATGGGGTGAAACTTTAAGACGGGTGAGTCAGGTTCTGAATGTTCAGCAAAGACTGACAGGCAGACTGCTTCAAGGAGACACTGGAGAAGAGTGAGGCATTCAGGTCTCAGCCATCAGCTGGGCATGGAGCTGGATACTCCAGAGGAGGTAGGAACGAGACAGGCACGGGAGATGCAGAGAGTCTAGGTACATGCAAGTTTTGTGCATATGTCCACAGCATTTTGCAGGGCCAATAATGTTGATTTATTTTGCCTGTGCAGGCAGGAAGACTGCATTCCCCAGGTTCCCTTGGGCTTAGGTGAGGGTTTGCTTTCTGGCCAATAGGACTTGGGCAAATAGATGTAAGATATTCCCAGGCTGCCACTTCTCCTCCTCCTTCCTCTTCCTCTTCCTCCTCCTCCTTCTGCTCCTCTTCTTCTTCCTCCTCCTCCTCCTCTTCCTTCTTCTTCTAGATTATTATGGCTGTATATATGTCTGTGTGTGGGTGTGTGTAATTGAGTATACATGTCTGTCTGCAGAGCCTGGAAGAGGATGTTGGATCCCCTGGAGCCGGAGTTACCGGCAACGGTATGTGAACTTGTGGCCTCTGTAAGATCAGTACAGTGGAGTCATTTCATTTCTCCAGTCCAGATGTCTTTTCTTTGGTGATCATAAGATATGGCCTCCTGATCAACATGAACAAGTGATGTTGAGAAGAAATAAGACTTCTGTGTCAAGTAACTGGGATTTCAAAAACCCTTTGTTGTCACCATAAAATCCAGACACTCCTGAAAAATGAACTCTCGGTAGGCAGGCATGAGAACAGAACTTTCTACACAGCCCCACACACAAGTGGAAGAGGATTGTAGCTCTCAGGGTCATTGTCACTATTTTAAGAGTAGTTGAAATCTAAGCAACCTGAGTTTAAGCAACTTGAGTTTATACACTGGTTCTAAAATGTGCCAGCTGTGTGTTCTGTTAACTGTACAGTTACTCACTGTATATAATTTTATCATGTTACTGTAATTATTTAGTGATTACTGCCCACTAATTGTTTCAAACCTGCATTGTTTAAATTGTATTTGTTACTTCCTGTGAATCTAGGATCAGCTTGCTAGACCTTATCCTACTCTGTGGTTGAGAGGGTAACTGCTAATTTCACACAAGTCTCTCCCAAGTTTGGGTGTTAACTGGCCATGGGCTTATTGGGGCCTGCAGTGGAAATAACTGGGCCCCAGACTTGTTCCAAGTGGTCCAAGCTTGTTTGCAGTGCCGTGGCAAAATTCCCGAGGATAGGATGCATGGTTGGCTCAGAAACAACACATCATGTTGATCACATTGTAGGCTGAAAATAAATCATAAGGACAAACAGAGTTCATCTTTTATCATTATTATTGTTATCGGCAGAAGGAGGAATCTTGTGAAACGAGTGGATAAAGGGAGTCTATGATTATTAAAGTTCATTATTATAGCTAATCTTTCACTGCTGCTGCAAAGATTAAATATGTTCAAACATGTAAAACATTTAGAATTGTGTGAACTGAACATTTTCATACCTCATATTATTCTCTTGTGGTCTCAACAGTTTCATACCCAGGTGTGAACACCTCACCAGATGGTGATCATGCTTACCAGTGTGATGAGGTTTGGGACTCCATTCTTATTTATCCTTAAAGTGACCCAGTGACCTTCAAACACACCTTTGACTTGTGTGCTCTATCATGAACCTGAAATAAGACACCTTCCTAAAGCTTTCTTTCAGTTAGTTCCTCACATGGTTGAGCTACCTCAACAGAGTTTCCTCCACGTGTTTGCTCCCTGTATTTTATGGTGAGTCTCTCTCTCAACTGTGTCAGTAATAAGCAGTTTTCCCACACCTCTTCCATGTCTCCTCTTGTGGCTATATCTGATGGATGTGATTATTAACTCACAAAAGAAACTGAAATGAAACACACGTATAGTGTATAGTCTGCACAGCAGAGTCTGCACAACACATACAAGAGCAGCTCTCATTTTAACTAGAACAAGAGATAGTTCATTCTGGAACCCCATAGAGTGGCCATGGTTCAGAAACATTTAAGTTACTCCAAAGTTCATCTTTCAATGTGGAAGCAGTTTTGAGACATTATAGTTTTATGGATCAATGACAGCAACAAAATAAAGGCATAAATCAAGGCAACTTTAAAATACATTGGTGGTACATCAGAGGGGTGATTACAGCAAGATGCAAACAATTTTTCTCAAGGCTGTTGATGTTACTTGATTCTTAGCTTTTGGATTGGTGGAAGCTAGTAGTAGGTTAATAGTTTTCCAAAGGTTATTTTCTTTAGTCACAGGATGTTAGTTCTGACACAGAGGTAGCCAGGATGACTATGCCAGGGGCTGAAGCCAGCCAAAGATTAACTTCTGAACCGATAACATTCCAGTCTTCCACATTTCTTCAGTTTAAATAGGTTTTCCAGACACAGGCTATTTTCAGAAATACTCTTTTATAATAGTGTTCAGTAAGTGCTCACTGAGGCTTGGAGTATACAGTAAGTGCTCAAAGCATGTGTGCAATTATGTTCAATACTACCTTCTCTTTATACTCCTCATTGGCAGGAATAGTTGAACAGTTTCTATGTACACTGCTCAGCAGTTTACAGACTTCATACTCACCACAAGGAGATACAGGTTTTAGTAGAAACTTGTGCATATTATCAGGTACGCAGTAGCAAGCCAGGTTCAGACTGAACATGGGTCCCTAATCCTGAGGTGAAGAGCTCCTAGTGACTTTGAAAAAACTTCTTCGGTATCTATGTGTAGAAAGGATTCCAGATTCCACAGTCCCACATTCCATGGCAGTTGAATTGATAGTTTGTCACCCCTGTTACAGGGTATTGGGAACACCAGGTGAAGCAAGCCCTCTTATTGTAAAGGTATTAGAGACCTGGCTAGCTGGGATGTGGGTTTAGAACTCTGCATAATTCTGTTGTATTAAAGCAGGTGTGGGCCTTGCCTCTTGTGTCTTGACAGTGGCTTAGCTGTGTCTTCAAGTGCATAATGAACCCCAGATAGGTGCAGGTATATATCAGGAGCATCATTTCAACACTCTGGTGGTGTTTGAAAGTCAAACCATACACATCAGCATGTGTCAGGTAGATCAAGAGTTAGAAAATTTCTTACCATCACCATGTTGGCAACAAATATATTCCTGTCTATTTCCTAGTTTCTTCTGAGAATATTCTTAGAGAATAGTCAAGAAGTCCACAGCTTTGGTTCCTCCATCAATCCTGCTAAACTCTTGCTAAATTTCTGCTGTTACATTCTGCTTTCATCATCCCTAAGGCATTTCTCCTCACGGGATCAACACAGAAGCCGCATGTAAACCCAGAAGAAAATAATGTTGTGACTAGGGAACTAACTTTGCCTTGGAAACAGGAATCAGAGTGACCACATGATAGATATAGAACAATGAGGCCATCACTGACCAGAGTTTGGAACTGTATGGTCAGAAAACCTTCTTATGCTTTTCTGGCCTTTGGATACCACACACTGACCTATTGTGCCACCCTGTGCTCTAGTCAGATGCTGATCTTTGCAGCTGAGGCATCATTAACAGCCTGTTTTACCTCTCAATGATACAAATTATTTCTAGACAAATAACAGCTCAGAGCTGAGCCTGTCCAGTTTTGACCAACCACCAGGTTGTTGGATAACTTAATTACAGTGTTTGGTAGCCTTAGGGATTGTCCTTGTTCTCTCTAATTCTAACTTTTCTCATTGTGATGACAGAGATTCTCTATTTGGGTCAAGAGCATCCCTCAAAGGTCTGTGTTTTAAAAGGTTTTGTCCCTAGCTTGCCACTACTAGGAAATGGTGCTAAATCCAGAGAGGGTTGGGCTAACACAAGGTCCTTAGATCTTTGAGGTATGAACTTAGAGGTGATTGTGACACTCTGGTCTTCTTTCTTTTGCTTTCTGGTTGTCTTGCAAACATTTGCTCTACCAACCACTCCCTATGCCTATTACCTTGCTACAGGCCCAGAGCTATGGGGCGAAGTGACCTTGAATGCAACCTACAAGGCTGTGATCCAACACAAGTACTTTCTCTCTCTGCACAAGTTATCTCAGGTATCTTGTTCTAACAAAAATCATCCCAATGAACATTTGAACCAAGGATAAGATGGGGATTTTTCTTATTTTGTAAAAATAAAAACGATCACTCTTTCAAGGGTCTTCTACTAGGGTGATGTCAGCCAGGGCTTTCTTTCTGTGTTAGAAACCTAGATCTGATAAAGAACTAGTTGTGACAGTTTCTGTTACTAGTCATTTGGCCTCACTGTTTAGGGACCTGTGGTGAGAGGGGCTTCAATACAGTGGAGCAAAGGCAATCACATCATGACCACAGACAAAGAAAGGAGTCTGGCAGCTCTTAATCCCTCTCAAGGGCACACTCTCTATACGAAAATGGCTTCCAAACAGGCCCTACCTCTAGAAGTTTCTACTTCCTCCCAGCAGCACCATGCTAGAGAGTAAAATGTTCACACATGGAAATTTGGAGAATAGGTATTAAATATAATGCTTGATTTTTGTTTAATTGAAACAATTACTTTAACAGATGTTAATACTGTGTTAAGGAATCCACACACTATCTCATGAAATGGGAGTCTGGTGGAAGTTTTGATAGCTGGGTTTTATTATCTAGAAGAGTGAAGCAAAGAATACTATGTGTTTCCTCTCAAGGTGACATGGCTAGTAAGATGAGGAGTGAGGACTCAGACTGACATTTCTGGACAAATGCTTCCTCCATGCATGAATCTACAGGACCAACAGTTTTAACTACCCACTTTAGATTTAGTGAAATTTCATGAACTGGGAAGTCAGGCTTGGTTGTAATCCCATCCCTGCTCAACCTTAGGTAAGTCACCATTTCTTTTTACCCCTTGTAGCTGCTGGCTAACACTGTGAGTCTCTGGAACAGTCTGTCTTCCCATCACTCTGCTATCCTTCTACCAGCACTTTCTCACTCTGACCACAGAGCTACTCCATAAATAGCTCAGGACCTGTGAGCTGCATGCAGAGGTTTAACCTGAAGAGAAAAGCAAACAGCAGTTGAGTACTCATCCTTGGTCCTCCCCTGGTCCCTAATAAAACTTTCTGATTTTCCCACCGTTACAGAACCCTGGTTTTTCTTTCTGTTTCCTTCACCTTAATCAGTGCCATATCTCACATCAACCCCAATTCTGAGGTTATTAGAAAGGGTTGCAGGATCTCATAAACAGGCAGAGGACTCAGGAGAAATAAATGTGTGGAATACAACACTAAGGTTCAAGGTGCCTGTGTAGTTAAGTGCTGGAGTAAAGGAGGCTTTGTCTGGTCAAGGGTCACCTGATCCCAGACAGTCCCAGGTCAGCCTATGCTTACTCCTTAGCTTCTTCTCCTAGTAGGAATATATTGGTTACTTTCTCCCTGTAGCCAGGATTCCAAACCTAGAATCTCAGTCTTCCCAGCAGAAGGGAATCTATTAAATCATCTAGTGCACCTGGAATTGAACAATCAGCTGCTCAAAATCCATAATCAATTTGTTGTCTCTTGGTGATAGAGAGCTTCCTCAGAGTAGTTTCTTCATGTTCCCTTCATGCTTCAGAGCTTCCAGAGTTCTGCCGTGGATGCAGCCATCAGGAACTCTGATCACCACCACAGCTCCACCCTATGTAAGCCTGCAGTTAATCTGTATCATCTGAGCCTCAGTTGCCAGTCACCGTGATGACATCTCAGCTCCCTGAGAGAGTGTACAGAGACTGAAGAGGTTTCATGGTACCTTCATCAGTCCCATTTCCCGCATCAACCACGCTGAAATCATTAGCAAGGGGTGCAAAGCCTCACAAACATGCGGATGACACAGAGTAAATAAACCTTCCACAGAAATGCAATGCTGAGGTTCAACATGTGCTGGGAACCACTCCAGGTGGTTGACAGGTTCCAGCAGAGGATGTAAGGAGTTAGCAAGGGAAGGAGGTGAGTCAGGCCGTGATGGTCAGGAGAATCTTGCAGCCTGACTGACTAGTAGCCAGAGTGCTTCTTTATTTATACAGAATTTAGTAAGCAGAGATACATTCATGTTTTTCCAAAACATAGATCATATCACTTTCGGTTTTGGACATACGTTTCACTTCCTCTTGCTCATCTTTGGGTCATCATTAATAAGCTATGACAGAACAGTTATTTCCAATCATTTTCTCTCAATTTTTGACATCATTTCCAAACAGTTATCTTTCATAACCATATTTACTCATCAACCCCAGAACCCATTTTTTAAGAATCTAGAGGCATATAGCAGCCTGTTTTCAGGATGGTAACTTTTCTGGGTACAAGGACACTAGACCAAAACCATCTTCAACCATCCCAGGTGTACTGTCATGTCCCAATCAGTGCGGCACTAACTCTTAATGGTTAGTCAGAGTGTCCAAGACATGTCCTCAGGCCAAAGATGGTACAGTTATTCAAACTCTGGGACAATACAATATTCATGTTTTATATATTTATAGGATGCTTTATCGTCTTCCCACATCATTCTTTGCCATCAGTATTAGTCTCTGTGTAGAGGAGAAGTAACTGCAGCTAATTTGCTTTAACAAAGAAAGAGGTTTTCGAAAGTCAATGGTTTTTCTGATCCCACATAAGTCCCTGCTCAGCCTGTCTTGGTTGGGGATGTTTGGTGTGATGCAAAGCTGCTCTGTTTGCCCGGATCTGTCCAAAGTTGTATCTCACAGAGATGTTGGCTGGTGATGAGCACCACATGACATCAAAATTATCAACCAGACTCTTTTCTCAATTCCTGCTCCTGAGTACGTATGCTTCTGAGATGTCACTGGCTTTCTTGATTTCTTTCTGCATAATCCTCACCAGCACGAGGCTGACTTCTGGATAGCTGTCTTGTTTCCCCCACTCTAAGGAGAGTGTTGTACACTTCTTCTCCCACACTGAGTTTGGTTTCTGCCATTCTGTGGTATGCCTATGTTAATTTCCCAGAATTTTCCTATGTGGAAAACCCTAGGGTTTCTGAGAAAAAATCCAAGAGTGGGGAACCCCAAACAGGATTTTTCTAGTATCCATCTAGTTTCATTAACCAAATTATTGAGAACTGGGTTAACTCAAAGGGGAGATAACAGCCAAGAAGCTTTGAACCTACAGACACATGAATAAGAGAGATGCTAAGAGTGTTTGAAGACAAGGAGAGAAGCTATGCAATCAAGTGTGGAATGGTTCTTGGAGGTTGAATGATATGAACCAAGAGTAGAAGAACAGAAAATGCAAACGGTGAGCAAGTCCCATGACTGTGCTTTTGTGATTGTATATGTGCCCATGTGTGTGAACGTGTATGTGTGTGTATGTGTGTGTGTGTGTGTGTGTGTGTGTATCTTGGGAAGGAGCTGATTTCTATGTTGCTGAATTCTGAGGGTCAAGTATTGAAAAACTAAGGTTTATTGTGCTGTTCTGTTACTGGTGTTGCTTATTTGCACCTATGCAACTGTAGTGTTCTGAGGGATACTGGAACTACACTGCTGGCTTCTATCACCACTGTCTGTCACCATTTCTTAGGTGGCACACATTCCCATGGTGAAGGTAGAGTCACAATAGAGTAAGTGGAGACCTAGAAAGGATGAGGATACAGGGAGTGCTGGGGAATTGAAAATGACAATTCAGTTTCACAAATTCCTGTGCATTATCTTTGTCTGTTTAGTTTGCTTTTCTTTCCCCATTCTAGACCTGCATTCCCCCTCAGCCATCCTATTCTTTGGGTTTTTGTATAGGAGAGTGGGTTATGGTAGTCTTAGATTAAACCAATATAACTCAGAGAACGAGTGTGTTCCTGGGGCCTTTCCAGAAGAGTCTTCCAGGAGAGTCTGAACACAAATTATCTACAAGTAATTGGAAGCATGGTCTTTAGCACTAGTAGGGGTTGGGTGCGGGTAAATTCTAGGTTCTTTTTGCCTCTGACAATATCTTTGCAGGGATATGATTTTAGTTCCTTTAAGTCTTCTTCAATCCTGTAACGTGGGATGAGAAAATCTCACTCAGTTTCTCAGCTTCAGGAACAAGAATTTAGTATCCCCTATTTCCCCTATCTCTTCCTGATTTGATTATCAATACTGATTTGCATTCCTCGTAGTAGAAATTCCCGAAGTCTGCTTGCAGTGTAATATATTTTTGGCTGTGTGGCTTCTGACTGTCTTCCCTATATTCAGAGCATCTCCTGTAATACATGCTATGATCTGAGTGTGTCTCCTACCAAAACCTATGTGTTAGTAATGAATTCCTCTGCAAGGCAATGCTGGGGAGTAAGGCCTCCTGAAGATGTGTGTATCATGAGGAAGAAGTCTTCATGAATGCACTTTTCTCCTGGCAATCGATAGATAAGCTAATATTGGAAATTTGTCCATGTGTACCTACCTGCTTGCTTTTCAGTTTCCTATGAAAACTTAAAGCAGGATGAGGTCTTTAGCAGATATGCCTTGCCCATTCATGGGCTTCATAGATACCAGACATGAGGGATGAATTAACCCTTTTTCTTTATAAATTACCCAGGTTTGCATATTCCATTACCGCAACAGAATACCTATAGTCCCAGCAATTAAGAGGTTAAGACAGAAGGATAAAGAGTCTAAGGCCAGAAGCTGGAAAAAAGCTCAGTCAGTAAAGCCTTCCACCCACAGATGAGGGCCTGAACTTGGATCTCCAGAACCCACTTGAAATGCCAGACATGTTGATGTGTTGTCTGTAACTCCAGTTCTTGAGTAATGAAGGCAGTAGGATCCCTAGAGTTCATTGCTGAGCCAGCACAGTCAATCGATGAGTTCCAGGTTCAGTGAACAACCCCTTGTCAAAAACTGAGGTGGATAACTACTGCTAATCTCTGGTCTCTGCATGCACATATGCATATTCACATACTTATACCATAGGTGTATGTGTGTGTGTGTGTGTGTGTGTGTGTGTGCGTGTGAGGGAGAGAGAAGACAGAGAGAGTTCAGTTGTTCAATGATAGCTTAGCTACCTGAGACTGTCTTAAAATGCACACACACACACACACACACACACACACACACACACACACACACAGGAAATAGAAAGAAAAGGAATGAGTACATGTCATATTACCACCCAGACATAGGACATACACTCTATTACACAAACTGAAAAGATGAGGTATACTCCTGGACTTCTTTGAAATAAGATAGGAGAGTCTGATTGATGCTTGGGTGACCGTGTGAACCCACTGTGGCCTCTCCTTTGAGAAACGGCAAACAGAAAGGGCAGGAGACAGATGTCCTGGGAAGTGGTGGCTACAGCAGCATCAAGACATCTCTAGGACAAGGAATGTCAATGTAGCCATTGTCCCGTGGACCTAGGAATTGTACAATCTTTGGGAAAAAATGGCAGTAGATGTCTGTATTTGTGACTCTTTGGACTCTTGTATCACTCTGCTACTTCACTTTCTTCTAGACTGTTCTCTGATTTTGGTTTTCTTCACATTCCTGACAAATAGGTTATTCAGTGAATAAATATCATTCATGCCTAGTGAGTTCAATTGCCTGAAACCAAGAACTCGGAAGAATTTGGCTTCTTTTCTGTTATCTCATCTGTCCCTCTAGAATGTTCACCTGTAGAGCAGAGGACTTGAAACACACATCACCATCTGGAAAGAATCCAGGAACATGAGAGTATGGCCTGCTGCTTATTCCTTAAACAATTGTGTTACCACAGTTTCAAAAGCACACTTGAAATGATACTGGAAATAGCTTTCTCTGCCTCCCCTCAGAAACAAACATCTTCAAGTGGATTCAGTGCCCCCCCCTCAGATGACTGAGGATTCCCTGGGAAGAAGTCGGCTTGTAGTTGTTGTCTGCCCACTTTGGTCAAGTGAGACATCTAAACTCTTCAAATGATCATAACAGAACCCTTGAGCTTAATCCAGCCACAGCAACTGTGCACCTCACCGCTCTTCCTAACTTGAGGCTGCCCTCCTAGTGGGATACCTGCCTGGGTCACCAATTGAGATGGCTGGAAAGAGGCAGTAACTCATTGGGTTCCTTGTCCTTATCCTGTGTTTCCTAGGAACTATGGCCACTAAAGATATTACCTTGGCATGGCTCAGGACCAA